AGAGTATACACCACCACCACGTCGATTCCTCTTCCCTCCTAGACCCTCTTCTTCCTCGCCTCTGTCCTGGGAGAAGGAGGGTCTGAGGGAGGTGGTGGTTGTGTATATGTGTGAGCCTCGAACCTGAGACGAAGCCAGGATGAGGGTCAAATTCGGGTGAGGATAAAATGGTAGTCTTAAGTCGGGCCTGTCCCTCTACAGGGGGAATCTTCAAAAATTCGCCGGCCCAACGGGCCAGGGCGTGCTAAGATCTCCGGTAACTGGTTAACAGTATTAACAGTATTTCTAGTTCGCGCGCGCGGGGCGGCCCCTGGGGGTCCCCCGGCGAAAAGTACCCCGACCAACGCCCGGCCGCCCGACCGCCGCCCGACCAAGTCTACTCAGAGATGGTTTTCCTTCTGGGTGCGGCCTCTCAGGCTCCCCAGAGCGCGCTCAGAGTGCCCCAAGAGGCCCCCAAGACTGCCCAAGAGGCCCCCGAGACGCCCAAAGAGCGCTCGAAGACGCCGAAGATGACCCCAAGACGGCCCAAAAGGCCCCCAAGACAGCCCAAGAGGCCTCCAAGACGCCCCAAGAGCCTTCCAAGAGGCCTCCGAAGAGAGCCCCAAGAGGCCAAAATCGTTGATTTTCATTGTTTTTTTCGATGTTGTTTGTGTTCTGGCTTTTTCGGCTTCCGGACGCTCCAAGACGGCCCAAGAGGCCCCCAAGACCGCTCCAAGACGGCCCACGAAGCTCCCAAGACGGCGCCGAAACGACCCAAGAGAGCCCTCAAGACGGCCCAAGTGCCGCCCAAGACGGACCAAGAGGCCCCAAGACGGGCCCAAGAGGGACTCAGGAGGGATACCGAGAACTCAAAAATGGAGCCCTCCGTCCCAGAAGGCGCCCAGGAGGTCCCAAAGAGGCCCCAAGAGGCCTCCAAGAGGCCCCAAGATGTCGCCAAGAGGCCCCAGGAGACTCCCAGGAGGCCCAAAAGAAGCCCCAGAAGGCTTCAAACATGTCTCCCAGGCGCCCCCGAACGGCCTCTCAACAGACCCCAAGAGGCCCCCCAAAGAAGCATCTTGACGACGACTCTATTTCGCCCCATCGAGAGACGACCCCCAGGGAACTGCTTCACCATCAAAACTCCCCACGCAACGCGTCCGAACGACACCCGCCCCCAAGAGCGCAACATGGGCAACGAACACACAGACAAAAACCAGCGATGCCATATCACGGGCCGGCGGAATGAGCGAAGCGATTCAATAATAAAAAATAGTCGGGGGACTGTTTTTTTGAGTACTTTTATAAAGAATCCTGTTTTTTTTTTTTTTTTTTTTTTTTTCATATTTTCATTTTTCGTCGAAAATCCCCCTGTAAGGGGACACGCCCGACTTAATGGTAGTCTCTGAGATCTAGCGATTCTAGACCAAGGCTAAGCTAACGGCGATGTTGCTTGAAGGTGATGTTGGGGACCACGCTGCAGGGCATCGCGAGTCGCACGTTCCTGCATTCCCAATCTGCGAATGGATCGAGCGAACACGACACAGCGAAGTGTAGGAAAGCGCGAGCCACGCTTTCCCACACGACCGACACCTACATCGCCATTACCTACATCGCTGTTAGCCCGTCTACGCCTAGAACACATCTCGGGCGCCGCGGCCTTCTCAGAGCGTCCCGGAAACGCCCTGAGAGCATTCCAGAAGGCTCTGAAACGGATTCATCCTCGTCCTGGCCCCACCCGACAGGCGTCGCCTCCCTGGAGGAGAGTGGCGGCGTGCACAAGCGGGTGTGGGGAGGGGGGAAGGCTTCTTAGAGGGAGGCTGCTTCTTAGAAGGCGCTGGCCCTGTATCTATGGATGAGGCCCGCGCCTTCAGAGAAGCAGGGGTGCTTCTAAGAGGCCGTCCCAACCCCCCTCTGCGCGTGGCTGAGGCGAGGCAGCTCTGCAATCCAGACCGCGACGCGCGACGCGCGATCCTCTGATCGTCTCTGCGGGCGACCCGAGTGTGCACCACGATAAAATGCCACGTGTGAACCCTTCCCCCGCCCCCCACGATTTCGGAAGGGGGGGTGGGGGTTGGCTCCGCTCGGGACCTCCCGAACGAAGTGACCCTCCACCCCCCCTTTGGAGTCGTGGGGGGTGGGGTAGGGCTCAGGGGTGGCAACCTACACGAGGAGAAGCGAGGTTGGTGAGCATTTTTTAATTCGGTGTCTCGACATTGGGCGGAAAGGGGGGGGGAGGGGGGGAGGGGTCTGGCTCCAGACCTCTGCTTGGTGCGACTGTTTGCAAGAGTGCTGCCTCGGGGGGAGACTCCACCCGCTCGAAACAGGCGCCCAAAAAAAACAGCCAAGATCTACTCCATTCGGGCCGGGCGAAAGGGGGGGATAGCAAAGGGGGGGTTGAGAATCAGCTCACGTAGCTGATTTTCCCGGCGCCTCCCGGCACCGGAGGCGGCTATGTATCGAGGAACGGGCCCCTCGGTGGGGCCGAAACCAGCTGCATGCAGCAGATTTCGTAACCCCCCCTTTCCCAATCCCCCACTCTCGCCCGGCCCGATCCATGGGAGGGGAGCGGGGGGTTGGGGGCCCACGCCGATCGGCAACACAATACTTAAAAAACGATCACTCGCTCCGGCCTGTTCAGGGCCAGGCGGCGCACGGAGCTGCGACGGGGGGGCACGTCCAAAGAGGCGGCCCTCCCTCGCTGGCACTCTGCGCTATCTCTGGCCTCCTGCAAACTTCTGTGTTTTTTTTTTCCACTGACTCTTCTGGCCATCGCTCGGACGTCCATTTCCTGTGTTTTTTTCCGCTTCGTGCGTGGTTTTGTCTCCAAATGATAGATGATGCTTCTCGATGGTCCTCGCCGAAGGAAAAATGCACACGTCCGAGCGATGCCAGGATGGCAGAGCCGCCGTTGTCTCAACTGGCCCTTTTCCGAATCCAGGGCCCACCAAGCGCAGACGCGCCAGGGAATGCATTGCAGTAGCCAGCGTCCAGACGAGCAGCACGAGAATGAAACGACGGGGAGCACGGAATCGCGACTCCTGGCCATCACTCGGACGTCCATTCCCTGTGTTTTGTTCGGCTTCGTGCGTGGCTTTTTCGCCAAATTATCAAGGATGCTCCTCGATGGCCCTCGCCTAAGGAAATATGCGCACGTCCGAGCGATGCTAAGGACTAGTGGGTCCCGCCTGAAGATGATCGTCAGACTTTCCTCGATGACCTCCCAATCAAAAAATCATTTAAAAAACACCAGCCAGCCGACCGAGCTTACGGCCACCACCCTCGGAAATTCGTCCCCCCTGATGTCTCCTCCAATCACCCTACCCCGCAATATGCGGGCCGTGCAGTCTACAAGTGACTCCTACTGAGATGCCCTAGAGACCTCGATGATTACCCAGGCCCCAATGTGGGCCCGAGTCCTGGGAGCTTGTACCTCTTCTCTTTTACCACCCAACGAAGCGAACGTCACAAGAACATGTAGCACCCAAGAGGTGATTCAGGCAAGCTTGTTGTCAAATACGTCGTAAACGCTTGTATGTCATGCTCCTTCGGATCGGCCCCTGGGCATAGGCACCCAGATGCATGTTCCGAACTAGCCACAGGAATCCAAATGCATCAGAACACGTGTATCGCCAAGATGGCACGGATCCATCAATGCAGGCATTCGCGAGCACAGGAATTGGGAGGGGACTGGGAAAAAAACACGGTGTGAACTCGGGGACGGTAAAACTGGGCCCGCGCCCTGGCATCATCATCAGCACCGTCGAGCTGCGAGCCCTGTGCCTGCACGGCCCTGTGGTGGCTCGTGGACGAGGTGGACGCTCGTTCAAATGCGCTCGGTGTCTGGTGTTGCTAGAAATGCCCCTGGGCCAAGGTGCCCCCAGAATTATCGGGGCAGCTCAAACGGCCTCCAGGGCACCCCATCACGAGGCCCGGAGGGCGCCAGAGGCTCCAAAATGAAGCGAAAGGCTGGGAGCACCTTGGCCAGGCGTACTTCTAGCAACACCCGATGGTGTTCGTGCATGCTTCAGGGATCTTCTGACCCGTGTCAATCCAGACCCAGGTCAGTCAGGCCTTGCAGGATCCTGCAGGATCCTGCAAGATCCTGCACCCAAATCCGGGTCAACGCGAAAAATCCTGCAGGATCCCGCAGGATCCTGCGCCCAAACCCGGCTCAATGCGACCCTGTCCATGCAGGATCCTGCAAGATCCTGCGCTCTGGCTGACCCCCGTTCGCATTGACCCCCGTCTCTTGAGCCCCGAATGCTTGGCATTCTCCGCTTGCCGGCTCACGACGTGCCCGAAGCGGGCATCGCAAGCTTTCAGTGCCCGAGGCCCCCCCCCCATGCGAACCTCGGCGGCGGCGCCCGAGGCTGGAGGCCGCCCCAAGGTGGGCCAAAATGGCTCGAGGCTGGCTTTGCGGCGGCCCAGGGCAGGGACCGCCCCGAACGCACTTCTGCTCCGTTTTCGCCGTGCCTGCGCTTGCCCCGCGTGCTGCCTTCGGTCCGCCTCTGCTGCACGACGACGTCGCAGCGGCAGCGGCCCACGAAATCGCCAGCACTCCGCTCAGGTCGACCCCTTGAGACCGTCCCGTGATGGCTGCGAGACGCTCTCTGACGCCCCCCGCCCCCAGGCCCCGCAGCCTGGCTCGAACGGGTCCGAAGGGGTCCCGAGAGGGCCCTCGGGGCTCCCAAGGAAACGGGACACTGGTTCCGTCGTTCGCTCTCCCCCTCCCTCGGCCCCCCCAGATGCCCTTTATCCCCCATCCAAACACTCCCCGTCATCCCCAATCCTCTAAATCCCACGCCTCTTTTCGAGCCTTTCCCGTCTGGCCTATAGATGATTGTTTGATCCTGGGCACTCGTGCCGATTGTGTTTGCTTCATGCTGTTCGTTCCCTTGTTTGTCCTCCCCCTCCTCTGCCCCCCCCCCCCAAATGCCACCCTCCCACGTCCTCTCACTAACAACTGTCCTCCCTCCCATCCTCTAAACACCCACGCCCATTCCCCAGCCTCCCTTGTCTGGCCCACGGTGTGTGTGCATGATCCTTGTTTTGCCGACTTTCCTGGCGCAACTACTGCGGACGGCGGCGGTCGAGGAGGCGTGGCCATACCGGGGATAGCGGGAGCGACGTCGGTGAGGGCGGCGGGCTGGCCGCTCAACCAAACTGCGCCTTCAGTTGCTCCATCACGACGAACACGACAACGGGAGGCCCCCTTCGCACACCTCCACCCCCCTCCTCCCCCCTCCTCTTCACCGCTTGTTTCTTCAGACGGGGGTTCGAAGCTGGTTTAAGGCACCATTGCGCTCACGAAGCTCTGGGCGCTACCCCGTTCCCCTCCTTCCCCGCCACATCTTCGTCCTCGCTGGCTCCCACACCACCTCCCCTCTATCCCGTCCCATTGCCTCTCCCCCCCTGCCCAAGAGAGGGAGGGCTGGCACGGAGAACCATATTGGAGTGAGTGTGCAACTGGAGCCTCTCCGATGGTGACCCGCGGCACCACGCGGCCAAAGTTCGGCCAGAAGCCCTTGTACAACGCCAAGGGACCCTCGCTGCTGGCGAGCTTGATGAAACAATCGGCCATTCCGCTGTACAATGTCCCGCGCCCCGACGCGTCCACCGGCTGGCCCATGACCCGCGACTTCACCACGTCGAAGGGGGACGAGGCGACCGTGGAGACGAAGCCCGAGATCAGGGCGGTCGACGCACGCATCGGGGGTTGTCAAGACTCGCCATCGATCGGATGTCCATTCCGAGTGCACTCTTCGGTTTCGTGCGTTTGTATTGCTTGGTGAATCATCGAACAAAAAACATCTAGGAGCATCTGGGATCATCGACGATGATCCAAGATGCTCCTCGATTATCTCCACCGACAACGAAAACGTCCGAATGATGCCAACATCCATGTCGGACTCGTCGGATCCGTGCCGAATCCGTGTCGAATCCGCGTTGAATCCACGCCAAACCCGCGTCGAGCCCGCATCGAGCCCCGTGGGCACAATAGAAGACACCGACCTTGGGGACAGGCGAGGTCCCCCGAAGATTCAAAGTAAGAGGCCATCTGGGCCTCCTGAGGGCACCTTGGGCCAAGGGCACCTTGGGCCAAGGGCACCTTCCAGAGAAACGTACGACTCGAATTGTGCGGACGTGGCATTGGCTGACGAAGCCGTGAGAACAATGACGAGACCTAATGTGAAATCTTGCGAGCGTTCCCGCTGCAAAAACCTCACGAAGACTGGAACATCAGCATCCACGCCGGACCGTCAAAAAGGAGGCGGCCAACCCGAGTTCTGGCGAACTCGAGCTTAAGGATGCATGACCCTCGGAACGGCGCGAATGCCATGGCTGCGCGCGCCCAAACGTGCCAGGGATGACCAAAACCGAAGGATGCATGGTGCCTTTGCCAGGAGGGTCCATCCGTAAGGCCGGTCTGACTGTACGTTTCCCCGAACCTTTGGCAACACCCGCATGGAGCAGGACTCGAGCTAAGCAGTGCTCTTCGTGCTCAATTTTGCCTCTCTCGTCCTCCGTCCCGTCGTCGTTCTGCCCCTGCTGCGGAACGGCACCATAAGAAAAGCGGTCCACGAAGTCGCCACAACACCGTTGATAGGGGAACGACAAATCACATAAGCACAAAAGCTCGGAGGTCCGCGCGGACTTCTCGGATCGGCGCTGGGGACCCCTGGCGGCGCTCCGCGCGCCAGGGAGGGTCCCCAGCGCCGATCCGCGAAATCCGCGCGGACGTCCGAGCTTTTGTGTTCATGTTATTGCTTGCTCCCCCAATTTAGCTCGAGCCCTGGCGTGGAGTTTGGACGCCCGAAATGGGCACGGAAAGAATGGGTAACATGCCCAACAACAAATGTTGTCCCAAACCCACAGCGGCCGCTGTTGGGCAGGCGGCCCTCTGTCCCGAATGGACGCAGGCCGCGGCGGCTCGGACAGCGAGTCCTCTTCAAAATGAGCAGGACCTGCTGTTGGGCATTCTACCCATTCTTTCCGTTCCCATTCCGTGCGTGCAGATGGAGCGCGATGCCGTCGCGCTGCAGCGAGCCCACCGGCAGCGCCCTCAGCCGCGCCTTGGCCTCGTCGTACGACGACAGCTCGGCGGCGGCGAGCGCGGTCGCCCGGCTGGCGGTGGGGCCCGCGCCCGTCCAAAGGCCCAGCACGCCCTCCTCCCGCACCTTCCGTGGCGACTCGTGGGAGCTGGCCTCCCACACAAGAGCTCTCAACTTCGCGCTTCGCGCTGCGCAAAGCGCGAATAACTTCGCGCTATCGCGCCGCCTCCCAGGGAAGAAGAGGAGGATGAGGAGGAATCGGAGCCGAAGCGCGAAGCGCGAATAACTCCGCGCCCTCGAGGGCGCCCTTGCCCATACCACTAGATCGGGCACGTCCCCCCAGAGGCGGATGTTGGATGCAAATGAAACATATGCCAACAAACATCCCCCAAATAGCAAAACATAGAAGAAACATCGTCCCCAGACTAGTTCTGGGCTGTTTTTGAATATTCCTCCTGTAGAGGGACAG